TGATTTGACTTAGAGTGACCACACCTACGCTTTTATATTTAATGAATAGGTACTATATAGATATTAAATTAAATCCATCTTAAAAAGATAAAAACATTTTATTTCATTTTCTTATCGTTCATTTCTCTTCAAACATTGATTACAATATAATATTATGTATTATGTATAAGAGGAAAATTTAATACTTATTTTTACCGCTTTGTCATAAAACTTTCTATTTTACAACGTTGTAGAGGAAATTACCATGTAGTGACATAATAATATATTATATTATATGCTCTTTCCACTAACAGTCATCATAGAGTAAATAAAAATGTATTTTAAATCTCTTTCGATTTTTTTTTCTTTTTATAGACTATTAACTACAAAATTTGTTTACCTACATAAAACATCCGTTTTAAATTGGAATTTCACAGTAATTTAGATTTTTACTGTATAATATTATCATCTTATACCTCTTTTTAATAACAAAAAAAAATAAACTTTTTGTTTTCAACTAAAATAGAAATACTGCGCATTAAACGTATATGTGGAAGTTTATGCAATCATGCATTTTAATACGAACAGATTACAGCGAAAAATGTATTCACCGGACAGTATAAAGTTTAAGTCAGCAATTTCGATACGATTTATACGCACCGTGTCTTAAACTATAATGGTACGTTTTCGTCTAAATTCGAAAGAATGCTCGTTTGTAAAAGATATTTAAAATACGGTTGGCATATTCGTTTTACTCAATGTAAACGCAGATACAACACAGAAATAACGAAAGCTAATTAAACACAACGGACTTGGCGGGTTGTAAAAGCCGATTACGGGGTTTTTTTTTTATTTCGTGTGTATTTTAAAACTTTGTTTCCGTAATCGATGTGATAATAAAATATTGTGGTAAACAATTTTTTTCCTCCAGGAAAATTATGTTCCTGCTTTTAATAAAGTCGGATTATATAAGTAGCGGGTACCTATCCAAAAAATACTAAGTTTAATATTTCTCAATATTCGATCACTTTATCGATTATGGGTGAAAAATAAAATACAATAATGTTCAATAATATAATAATTTTATTTCGTTTAGTATAACATTACCTATAGTAGGTTGAAAAATGCGTAGTTAAGACAGTCAACAACAATTCTTCCGTTAGTTATCTTCAAACCGTGTTTTATAATTTCAACGGAAATAATTTCTCGTCACGATTACATCGTTATCGAAGTTGTACTATCTATAATAATATTATATTCTGTATACTCTATATATATGTATATTGTAAGTGAACCGTGGAAACTCTTGTGTCATAACTCACGGTCGGAAGGAGGACCTCGGAATACTTACGGTTTATTTATTTTAATTTTTTACTACCTACGCAGATAATATTATTACTATACATATACTCTAATTATTATTTTAACCGCCATCTCCCACCGTAGTCTTTTAATTAAATGTCACTTACTCACTTATATATTGTTATTATTATATGAAACACAGCTGGACTCCCGGTGGTTCTCTGCGGTGACGCGCGTCTACCGTGCATTATTAAAATCCGTATGGTACAGTATAAAAATCCCAAACACACCCAAAACATAAACGCAATTGGGTTATTTTAAAACATATTCACCGGGACGCAGCACCAAAATGAAATAAATAAAAATAAGTTTTCGTCGGAGGCGCAATGCCCGGGGCAAACGTGATGCGGCTTTTGAATTTCAGCATCTGGTTTTTATAGCGATACTCGGAGAGGCACTGAGGCTACGGAACTTTTTGAGATATATGCCGCAATATTATTAGGTCCAACAGAGGAAACAAAAAAATAAATAAATAAATAAACGAAATGGAATAGCTTAAAAACTTAAATTTGTTAAGCTATATAAAACCCTATTTTGCTATTATTGTAGATTAATTGAATTACCGCTTAAAACTTGAGATTATGACTTGGTATTTTGTATTTATTTTTTGTATGAAATCGAATCGTGAACAATAATGAATAATTGTTGGATTGCTTTATGAATAGTGTTTTTTTTCGTCAAATCGAAATTCGTTTATTTATCGACAAACCAATTATACACTTATTTATAGGTACTGCTATAGGTTTACTTTTCATGAATTCATAAACTATAGACTAATGATGCAACTTAAAACGATAAAACTTCATCGCCGGAAAAGAAATAATTATTTTTAAAGTCGTTGAATTATATTGCAGTAAACATTATCAATAAGTTTGCCTATTCACAAATTTAATCTTGTGACTCGAAAAAGAAGTACAATTTTTTTTTAATACCCACCGAATACCTACGGATATTTTTAGGACGAACATTATAATATGTACACATCTAAATTTTTTAATACAGTCACATAATAATAACGTGCAACATTAACAGTTTACAAAGTGTACTAGATTTAATTAAAATATAATTTTTTTTGTTTTCGTAATGGTAAAATAGTTTGTTCATTAAAATATAAAGTGGAAAAAGAACTTCGTACATATCATTTTATAGCTGGGGGTGTTCATAATAAAAATTGTATGTGTCCTTTTTCTAGCTCCGTATCATTTCGCAACCGTGCAAAACGAGTTATGGTGTAAAACGACATCGCATGTACCTACCTACCTAAATATTGTAAAATATAAACGCAGGAATGCATTTCAAAACCAGATTTTATCTTGCGACTCTTTGCATTACATGTTTATTTGATTTGTCGGCGTTAAATTTTCTGTTGAACGCAACTATTATTATTTATTAACTAAACGCAAAAAAAAAAAATATATTAGTAGGCACTTGGACGAAACATTGTTGCTGCAGAATTCGTATATTATAATAATATTATATAGTAATCGCATTATTACTGGCCCGAAAAATTAAATAAAACCATTGTCACTCGTACGGTCCATTATCTGGAGTTTCGTACATCACCGGGCGTGCATTGCAGTTGTTAAAGTTAATGTAAAAATTAACGGACAACGATAAAATGAAAAAAAATGAGAAAAACGAAAAAATGAAAAAAATGAAAAAGGTGATGCCTTTTAATATCGTTTTAATTCCAAAACCCGAACGGGTTTTCATTTCGTCAATCGGCTGGCTACCTAATATAATATATTTGCGATGATTATCCAGACATTATTATAGTACGTGTCACCCCATCCTGGAATTTATGCGAGGATCTAATATTTAGATGTAATATTGTAGACACAAAGCAGGCGTTTTCGAATTGAATGTGATTAGATTGAAAACTGATGTTTGCCCATTATTAATAGGGCCTTCAAAAGGTTAATGGGCGACGACGGAGCTTAACATCCTTTCAGACATCTGCGAATGTGGTTTCTGTGGTCGAAAATTGGTCCTAGTCCTAATCTTATATTATGCACGTTGTCTCGTTCCATTAATCATAAAGTATAATGACGTATATATATATATATATGTGTGTATAGTGGCGTCGTCTAAATACATAAATTACGTTTTCGATAATTGTGCAATTGAATAATTATTTATCCAAGACAATATTAAATAATTATTATTGTTTGGAGTGAGAAATAAAATGTAATTCCGAACAAATATTACAATCAGGTTAAAACAAGTAATACAAAAAAATATTATTTGTACATATATTTACAGTAATTTTTCCACGCATAAATAAATAATAAGTAACCTGGCTGATTAGATTTGATTTAATACAACTTTGCATTATTTATGACCTGTGAAGACAACAATTTTTCGTATATTATGAAAAAATTACGAAATATAAATTAGAATATTTTCATAGTTATTGTATAATAGTGTGTTAATATAGCTATAGACGCGTGTAATTTTAAAAAAAAGGTATACATTTTGAAGAATAATATTTGTATGAAGTTCCCTTATTATTATTAAGAAAAAAAACATACTCTCATAATATACTAAATATAGTAATATACTGTGAAAAAAAAATATAGTTCTTCATGATTAATTATCTACATAAAAGCATTGTTATAAATAATAAATAAATAATTGAGACGCTTATTCATTATTGTTGAGCCTACACAGTAATATAAAATCAAATGTATACCTATTATTTATATATTGCTAAATTTCGTAATTTAAAGGACCTCATAAAATGTAATAAATACTAAATTATCGAATTTACCTATCCAGCAGTTCATATGGTTAGTATTTACTATTTACTATATATTTTCTCGTGTTTAAATTTAATTAATATAAATAATTAATGGTAACTTAGGGATAAAAAAAAAGTTAAATTTTTCACAGAATATCTTTCTAACCTTTGATTAATCGCTTTTTTTATACTGGTAATATAATATATATTAGGTACTGCAGAACATTATAGGTAATTAAGTGCACAAAATTCAGATAATTCTAGGCTTTAACTGAATGCTGGGTTTTAAAAACGAATTACAACGTGTATTATATTTTATGAAAAGAGGAAACAAACTAATCCAATTTTTGACGAGAGATTAATTATTGTTGGATAGTATTAATAATAATATTTATACAAATAAGAAAATAGAGATTGTAATGATAAACAACCATAACAGTAAATATAAGAAGGGTGCCTTTTGTATGTATAAATAACTCCAATTAGAATAATAGCTACGTTATCACTTTTAATGACTTATATCATCTGTGTATCAATTATGTAATATCATATGAATACATTAAAAATAATATAATTTTAGCAATCAACTCAGAAATACAATAATATGAATATTTTAACTAATCAATGAAAAGCAGTTTTGAAAATTGAAGCCCTTCAAACCAAATTCTTTCAGTTTTGTCCCATTTTTTAGTCTGAAAACTACTTTTTTTTCATGGATTACAGCCCTCTTAAGATTTATTTTATGATATTCATTACTTCGGTATGTTCAACAATATTACATAATATTAAAATGTGTATAGCCATCACCCTATCGTAAGTGTTGTGATCATTCTAATGGAAAATAAAATGAATTGTTTGGTGCTAAATCTAGTTGAAATCTGAGAAATAAATACCGACACTGAAAAAGTTTATCTTTCAGATTTGCACCAGTTCCTGCAGATAACTGTATAGCAGTCGTGCCAATAACCGTCATGGGAGCTTACGTCACGTGGACGTTGGAAGTGTTGGCATTTGCGATTTTCGTCGTGGTCGCGGCCGTGGTGCCGTACGTCCGCCGGAAGCGCGACTACTGGACGAATCGTGGGGTGCTGGCGGCGGCCGGTTACCGGTCATTGGCAAACACGCTGCCGGGCGTCCGGCTGCACGACAGGTCACTGTCCGGTCACCGGAACGACGCTAAGGCCGCTGGCGTCGCCGTGCTAGGGCTCCACGACGCCGGCCGGCCGACCGCACTGGCGTGCGATATCCGGGTGGCCGCGGCCGCGATGGCCAACGACGGCTTTGCCGAGGTGGAAACCAGAGGCGGCCGCGAGATGAGCCTCTTACCGTCCGCGGTGGATGCAGGTGCGGTGACCGCCGTGCTGCCGACCATGGCCGTGTGCGTGGCCGAGCTCATCACGTCGCTGGAGGCCGTGGCCAACCGTCGGCTAACCATGGTGCCGTGGACGGAAGTGAAAAAGTGCGCTACAACGGTGGTGGCCACGTGCGTGTACGGCCAGCCGATGGTCGACTCGCGGATCAAAGCGTTCGCGGAACAGTGTGACAAGTCGTTGTCGGGTGCTGGCGGTCGGCCGACGTTCACCGACCATTTTGCATCGTACGACTTGTCGTCCGACGGACGAGCGTCGTCTTTCGATTTCAAGCAGATTTTACAGGCAGCCGCCGCAGACAGTGACAAAATTGGTGCAGGTGAGTGAATTAATGTGACTTTTAATTTTGATTTGAGGTACCTACCTAATTTAGACCCAATAATGTTTTGGAACCGTGACGGTATTCGACGCTATTCAATATTATTATTTTATTCATCCTGTCCATAGGAATGGATTAAGAAAAGAGTAACAACTTGATCTGTCGTAAATCAGTAATTTATCACCCTCCCTTTAACATTTATAATATTAGCATCATGCAGGTATATTATGTGTTAATCATTTTATAAGATTTTATCTTTCGAAGCTCATTACTATTAGATAGATCTTTTTACTTTGAAGAAATTATAGAAATCGTTACTAAATAATATGCAGAAATTAGAATATCCTACGAATGTTGTACTTGGATTTGAAAAAATAACTTTCATTGGTATTCAGACCAATATACTGATTCATCATTTATCAGTTAATTGATACACCACGTAATGTTACTATAATAATTACCTATCAAAATCAAATGATTTCGTCCGATTGTTATCGAATATAGGTCGAATACGCATGAGAAAGTATTTTTAATAAAAATAAGATATACCTTTATTGCAAACTATCATTTGGTATGTTTATATGGTGATCAGACCAATTATTTGCCAAAATAACAATACTAATGAGATTTTTTTATGACTTTTAACTATTTATTTTTTATGGGGGATGCACTCGTAGACTGAATAAAGGTCTCTTTCAAATATTCCCGACGCAATACTCATCCACGGGGCACAATTATTACACACAGAAAGTTATCTGCGTTTGGATAATTTAATGTCTAAGTATATAATATTCATGTAATCTATGCATTATTGTTCGTCATCTTGAGACTTTGTCACCCGTTCAAAACTGGTTCGATCCCGATCCATCGTCGGCATCCTCGGAATTTCTTCTTTTTGGGGTATTATATTATAGTACGCAACATTATTATCGAGTTTGTTCGAGGACCGTGGTTGCACTACGGTATAAATTACCCCCATATATAGTAGTGAGACGCTCGGGAGGGGTTGGAAAATGGGCGAGCGGCAGAGAGAGGAGGGATAACAAATCGGCTCATTTAGATCGTATTATCCGCGCACCTTCACACCCCTCGCTCATCGTGCTTCGAGTATAGAACTTTTATACAAACGATCGGCACCCGAAATTTTAATCCGTCACCGGCACGGTATACTACAGCCGTTGTTTCTCCGATGAAAACTCACGGGGAATTAATGGTCCACGCCACTGTCTACAATACCGGTTATAATAATATTATAATACCGCCTATGTGGCCTGCAGTAGGAGGTTTCGCGAGGTCCCACAACTTTTCTGCGCTAGACGGTGAAAACTTTACCCGGCTGTGAGAAATTAACGTCGCCGCCGCCACCACCGCCGCCGCCGCACACTATACTTTGTCCTCGCCATACTGCGGCGGGACGGCAGCTGAAGTTTTCCAGATTGTTTTTCCGGTTTAATATTATGTAATATATTATTTTGATTTTTTTTCCCGCGTAGTGCACATGCGCTTCTACCGTTTTTTCATCGTCTTCTTCTTCTGCTTCTTCTTTTTCTCCTCCTCCTCGTCATCCTCGTCATCCTTCACCTTATAATCCATCCGACGGTTATCGATTAAAATGTCGCAGTCACTATGCGTTCTCGTAATAATAATAATAATAATAATAATATCGAATTGGTGACTTGGGTGCAATAAAATAGATGTGTGTGCCTAATGTGTTTGAAACAAAAGTTCAACAATAAAATGATAATAATAATATGTGGTTACCACTCCATAAAAACATCTAGATTTCGAGGTGTGCTAGACTACATTCACCTCTCCAGTAAGGATATTGTGTTATATACGATAAGTACATGGTACATCTTTTGGATAGGTATCTTAAATATTAAAGGACTCTACCAAATATATATTTTAACTGCAATAATATTACGCTATTTACATGCATTATCACTCTTGAATGATACTAACAAATCGTAACCATCGAGATGTCCCTCAATCGTAACACAATAATACAATATTATTGTTAACAGTGGTGCAACTAGGTTTTATTCAAGGGGTGAGGTCTAAAAAAAATTATTTAATTACTAAACTTTGTGTTCCTTTCCTGAGTATAATATACATAAATTGTATTGCTTAATAAACACAATTATTACCTACCATCAAAGTCTTCCTATAACGAGTATAACTATTATTATTATATTATGTACAGGACACGCTGTTTACTGTATTCAGAATAGAAAATTGACTAAACACAAACTATAATTATAGATTTGTTATTACTGTTGTACTATTTAATAATGAACACACACATATTATTATTATAACCACAGAATATAACAATACTTCGTTATTACTTGATAACGATTGATTAGAAATGATTAGAAACAACACGTGTGATCCGTTTTCATCGTCGACAGGAAATTCGTATCTATCACAGCAACTCGCATAAATCGGCGAGATTAACAGCTGTTGCAATAGATACCTACATATTGTACGTCCCAGACTCTAAACCTTGAAATTTTAATTCATAAATTAAGAGTGATTAAAAATTTTTTTCAACCCTTAATAATCATTATTTTGAAAATATCGTATAATGGGCAATTATTTACGGTGATCAGAACTATATAATGAACACTCTTTTCACTTCGTGCTCGTATGTATTATACAATGATATTACTGGGTGTCTGCATAATGTCAAAATATTATGTCACGTGTAATATATTATAATATATTTTATTTCAAAAATACTAAATGGCATCAATACGGTATGGAATATCCAGAGGAAAGTCATTGCGTAAATATAATATTGTTATGCAATCATATTGAAATAATTTCCAGCACTTAATGGTGCAGGGAATCGCCTATTCGTCTAGATTGTATGCTATAACTTGTATTCGTTATTAATTTCGTCATTTTTGTAAAGTGCCGCCACCGACGTGGAACTCCGTATTTGTATGGATATATAAGTATAGTATAACCAGTATAATATAGTACATCGGCATTGGCGCAACTAGGGGGGGTGCTTTGGGTCCTTAGCACCCCCTAAGTCAAAATTAGCACCCCCTAGAAAATTTTTATTTGTTAGGTCTCATTGAATCACAAAAAAACCTGGAGCTTAAGCACCCCCTAGTTCAAATGTGTAGTTGCGCCAATGTACATCGGTACATCGGACAACGACAGTATGAATCCATACCTTTTCTGGGTGACAGCGCAAGAACTTGTAAAATGCTATTTATTCAGCACGTTCGTGGACCAGCGATTATTAAAATAAAAAATAATAAAAAACAAAACAATAAAACAATTACGCGCGGCCCCGTCGTCGCGGACATAATTTATTCACCGAACACTGTATATTAATATTATTATAATAATAATAATAGTATGACAATGTCTAACTACGAATGAAAACATATTTTAACTGCAGCACTGGCGTATTATAACGACCGCATATTATTCGTGTTGTAATGTACACGCCTTTAATTGTTAAAGAAAAAAAAACCGAAAGAGCAGATTTTTTTATGTTTTTTTTTCCCCTACCGCCGAGTACAAAGTGGACTTTCTCGACAACCACACACCACCCCTCCGAAGCTCTACCCTGATCGTTCCACACACTTACGTTACGGCCATAATCAGAACTCAGAAGCTCTGCTAAATCTAACCAAATATATTATATTATATTATATTCGTCACAAAATTGGTAGGGATCGAATACGATTTCAGTGCGATCTTCAGCAGTTCTGCAGTCTGTGACGTAACGTTTGGACAGTATGTTACAAATATTGCAATATAATAATCCCTCCGAAGATCTACTCTGATCGTTATACACACTTCATATAATATTATCATAATAGGCATCGCACTCATATACGATTACTTCGACCGAGTGATAATTAATACTCTTTTATAATACTATAATCGTCTTATTTACTATTACAATTAACTAACCAAAATATTTTCAAGTGTCTTTCCGTTGTTTCAAAACGTAGCTATATAATATAAACCGAACGGAGAGTTTTATTTTTTGGTGCATAAATCAAACGTATAAACGGTCAAAGGAGTAGCCAAGGGTGGGCAGTGGGGCAAGGCAATTGCAAATATATATTAATGTTCAACGACATTTCTAATTGGGGTAAAAATTTAAAAATACAATTAGTTGTCCCTGATGAAATTTCTAGCTACTTTCTTGTTAACGGTACCTAATTTTTTCCCACTCAGTATTACACTCTACGGTTACTGCACGTATTTTGTTTTATTCCATATTATCAAGTTGCTGTGCATTGGTCACAGTTCAGAAACAACTTAATTTGTTCAAACACGTCTGCTGTCAATATTAAATGTATTCCCGGGATTCAGCTAGGAAATAGAAAAAGGGTGATGTGGTGACACTTTGAGAGGTATTGAAATGACTCTGTGTAAAAAAGAAAAAGAAAAGAGAACTGCCACTTCAGAAAACTGGAACATAAAAAATCACTGTTATTTTATATATTGATACGTCAACTAGAGATATCATATTTAAATTGTGTATTTGTGTCCACGGTCACGTGTGGTGATTGAAATGTCTTATTTAATATTTTATTCCAAACTCATGTTTAGCGAGGAGGGGTGTTCCAGGCGACGGTTTTTTTTATGTAGGAATTTCTTATAAATATAAAAATATTATATGTGGCATGGTGTTTGCATTCAGTTACGAAAACTATTCTGAGTGTAAGCACCGGCCGGTGTCATTAGTACCCGGATGGGTGACCACTGACCACCAGGGTTTTTAGTGACAAATCCCTGCCACACATACACACAAGTGTCCAATCGTACCCTCCCCCACTGAAAAACGTTTAAAAACAGCTAATGGCCAAAGTTTCAATGCTTAGGTTCAAAAAAAAAAAAAAAAATAGAATAACGAGCAGTGTTCTAAAACGTGTGTGGAGTGGGAATTTCTGTAAAAAGTTTAAAATTTTCTCCCTTTGTAATTTTAGATAAAAACACTGTTCCGTTAATCGCCGTGTTTTATC